ACGATTTTCTTTGACAAAGGCGAAAATGCAAACCAAGCGGCTAAAATTGTGAATGGTGTTTATGGTTCCGATACTGTAACACCCAACTATGTGCAATTTTGGTTTCGTATATTCCGTTCAGGAATTTCAGCCATAAAATTTTTATATCTGTTGTATAAGTACTGAAATATAGAGCTCTAAAAACGGTGCCGAATGGTCCCCAGTCTCCCCTATACGTCAAAATAATATGTCATATTTGTTTATTACGGGACATATACAGGGGTTGGCAAAAGCCTACAACAGCCAATAGTTTCTACCAGTCCATGAAGTTTTTGAAAAATATAAAATATTCATAAAAACAAATAATTGATGAATTATGATATACCATTTATGAACTAATGAAAAAAACAGTGAGCGGAGCAGTATAGTGGGACGGTGCCGACCATACGATACCCTACACAACTACCACAGAACTCAAATTTTCTCCGGATGTTTATTCTGAGCCGGGCAATATTTCGTGATATTTGCACCCTCTTGCCCTCTTCCTCACACTGACATATTTTCCGAATATTACGAGTATTCAGTACAGCTATTGTCCAGATTTCCTTCACCGTGGGTTGTGTTGTGATGTTCGGCTTTCAATTGTGGTCTACAGATCGACTCGAATATAACACAGAAAATTAAGTTTTCATTCCAAAATTATTATCTGATCATCACCGAAATTTATAGGCGTTGTCCTTGACCATACCGAGAACCTCATGGAACACTTGAAAGCGATCAGCGATATAGTTCCGCTCTCTAGAGTAATAATGGGTTACTAAATAATATACGAATACGGAGATACCTGTAAATATTTAGGTGTAACTCCCACATCCGAGCACATACAACAATATAATTGGTCTTAATTTAAAGGTCAACCACTCCTCTTGGATATAATATCAACTTCTCGGGTCTATGTTCTTCAGTGGTAAATATATATGCTATAGAATAAATATTTTGTCATTTTTCACACAAAAGTCAGGGTCCATTTGACCCGCTAAATATTGACCGATCTTTATCAAAACAGGCATGCTTATTCTTTGGTCCGATCCCCTTCTCCATGCAAAATTTCACGAAGTTCGGGCCATTATTGCGGCCTCTGGAGCGACCAGAAAAGCCGAAAAAAGTTAGTATTTGGCCCATCTCATCCCCTAAATATTAACCGATCTTTCCCAAACAACTCATTGGCCAGAACCCATCCTACATGCAAAATTTCGTGAAGATTGGTCCATAACTGTTGCCTGTATCGTGTTTACAAATTATAATGGACAGACGGACGGACGGACACACATGTCTAGATCGACTCAGCTAGTCGAGATATGACGATCGGTATACTTAAAGGTGGGTCTAGGACCAATATTTCGAGGCGTTACAAACATTTGGGGCTGCACAAAGCTATAATACCCTGACAACATAGTTTTGTAGGGTATAAAAAAATAATTTTATGAAAATTATTTAAAAAAGCTGTCTTTTTGTTTTGTTGAGCATAACTGCCTACAGCATGAAAATTTCCGAACTCGTTATTACGTGTTTCCGGATTTTCCTTAGCAGAATATGCAAAACGTGCTCTATTATATTCACGTCCGGACTTTGGGATGGTGTTCATGTTCACCAAGATTTAAAATATCGACCAAATATAAACACTAACTTTCCCACTCAAGATGCAACAACGGCACCCGAGACCACCGTGTTTAACGAATGAAACTAAATCTTTAGGATCCATAGCTGTATTTTGTTTTCGCCTAACTTTAGCTCCAATCGAAGTTTTACTTTTTTAGCTTATAAGTGTTTTTTTCGAAAGTGTTTCGACTGTGGAAATCGTTACTATTCAAAGTTCTTTGTATGGTTTGTGGATGTACAAGTATTCTCGATTTTATTAGAAAATTTTAGGCTAATATTGTGGCATTCTCTTTTGGATTTTACCTACTTCTTTAAGAATGAAACTGACGTCTATTCGATAAAGCTTCTTTGGTCGGACTGCCTGCAGTTTGTTTTCGGTTATACCAGTTTGATTGTAGTTAGTAACCACAAATTGAATCGTTGAATTACTAAAATGCAATAATTTGGATATTTTCCTTAGCGATTTCAACGATACTTTACCTTTGATCGTATGTGGACTTTTGTCATCACTTATTTTTTGATTTTTATGAATATGTTTTAATTTGATGTAAAGTTAATTTCTTTGCTTTTATTTATTTAACTATTAAACAGAATTACATTATTACTTTTTTTGAAATAGTTCATAGAGTCGTGGAAACACCAAAAAGTTTAAAATCCCGTTTATGTTTCTAATTCTTCATTTAATAAAAAGCTACGTATCCATTCCTGATTGTAGTTCTGTAATATCCCATTCAATAAAGTTTAAATTTTTTAAATATCCCCAATTATAGCACATATGCACTGCAGTGTATAAAGAAATAATGTGTTTATATTATGAATTTATTTCAATAAGACAATGCTATTTGTGCATACAAATATTAATATTCTATTTAAAAACAATATATATTTATTCATTTCACTACAAATCCACCTGATATGAAAAAATCATTTGCCAGAAAGCAAAAAAAAACTAAATCCCTCTACGAAATGAATCATATGGCTAAAATTTGCAATATTATGAATATTGGCTAAATTTAAAAACAGCAAAACAAAAAACAATTTCTATTTTCAATTTTTTTTCTGAAAATTAATAAACAAAAATCAAGGCATCATCACTACGATGCCGGTAGCTTTGCCGGGTAATAATGGGGGGCACGGATTTTGTTTTTTTTTTCAAATAAAATTGATGATGTTTTTCTGTTTGGCCAAAAAACAAAAATGAGATTGTGGCTCACATGATGGTGCTACTGATGATGATGAAGACAATGACGTCGAAGTTGTATTGACGTTGTTATGGAAAAACAAAATCGAAATATAAAAACACAATCAACATCATTTGATAATAAAAACGTAAGGAATATTTACGATTATATTTTTCAGGAAAAAATAAAGCGAGCGCAAAAAAACAAATACCTGTTGGTTATATTTTTAGCGTGTGAGGTTTTTCAATTCAATTTTCCCCTCCTCGTGTTGATATTTTGTAAATTTTGTGAGAGAGAATCTGAAAGCTCTTTGGTTGTGTGGAAAAAAGGGGAAATTTTGTTTATTGATTATGTTCGAAAATTGTGGCAGGGAGAGAGTGGCCAGTTAATTTATGGGAGAGCAAAGCTAGAGTGAGAGAGAGAGTCACTTTTATTAAACAAACTGTTGATTGGTTGATGTGCGCTTGCGCCAGCCTAACAGCCTGAAAATGGCTACACAATGGGGAGGCAACCACAACCATCATTGGCTTAGCACGCACACACACACACACTCGTACACACAGTTGCTTGGCCCGTTATGCTCTTTACTATTGCTCTTTTGTTTGCTTGCTCCAACAGATACACACACTTGCAGGTGTTTGCTACACAAAACAAAACAACCCCCCTTTTGGTGTGTGTGGTGCTCAATGGGAGAGATGTTTGTGTGTGAGATGGATGGTTGGAGCCAGAGAGAGAGAGAGAGAGTGATTGTGTGAATGAGGGGTTTTGTGTTGCGTTTGCCGATTGTTTGGCAGCAAGAGAGTGACTAGGGGGATTTTGTGTGTTTGATTATTTATGTTCGAAAGAGGGGCCACTTTGCTGTGTGTGAGAGCACAGATAGATGGCCGGCCAATGCATCCAACCATCCATTCAGTGAGCAGTATATCGATTTTTGTGTATGCCTCCTCAACCAGACAAAAAGGGGCACCACTCTGGCCATCGTTGTTGCTGTTGTGTTGTGCCCAACGTACGTTTGTGTTATATGTATCTTTTGGCCGGTTTCATTCATAAAAACCAAATGAATACTCATCTCGTGCTTCAGTTGTGTTCGAACAAGCAAACGTATCGGTTATAACCAACTAAAAAAAATAGAAAGAAATATTTACAAATTCAAAGAAGAAAAAAAAGTTATCACAAAAAGAAAATCAAAGATTCAAATACACAAAAGCAAGCTAAGAAAAAAAAATAAGCAAAAAAATTGTTTTAAACAAAAAGAAAAACAACAAATCAAATAAATTTACAAAACAAAAATAAGTGGAAGATTAAAAAAAAAACAATTTTTTTGGAAAAGAAAAACAAAAAATAAATTGAAATATTTTCTTATTGGAATTATCGATGGATATCATTTTGTCTAATTTGCCAAGCCAATTAGATAATATATCAAACAAATACAGAAAGTGAAAACAGCAATTATCCAAGGAATAAAGTGAAACTGAAAGCAAATCCAAAAAAAAAAACTAAAAGGAAAAAAATCAACTCCCCCATACTACAACAGAAACCGGCCCCAAACACTACGGCCAAGCCATTCATATAAATTTTTCGTTGCCAACAATAAAAGTGCTTGCGGATTTTATGAATGAAATGAAGAATTTGTTGGACTAACTTGTAAACTTTAAGGCACACACAGCAAAAGCTCAAATTTCCAGCAAAAAAAAAAAATATATATATATATATATTACATTGTGACGTACATGGAAATAAAGGCAGAACAAGCAAAAAAACATTGCAGTAAAACTAAGAAATTATCGATTTTTTCCGTGAAATAAAATTAGAAAAAAAACAATAACAAAGAAAACAAAAATAGTTAAATGAAATTTCAAAATTAAAAAAAATAAAAAAAAAACAAAACCAAATTATTAAGTAAAAACAATATTTTGTTTTCTTAAATGTGTGTCTAGAAAAAAAACATAAATAATATTTATCTGCCCCCTCAATACATTTGCTAACAAGTGTTTTCATCGGCGAACGAGAAAACAAAACGTGATCACTCTACGTCTACTAGAAGTAAGAAAGGAAGAAGAATAATACCGCCACTTGCCATTTGCGCGTATCGTAAACGGACGCCTACGATTTCCTTGGCTTTCACCGCACCGCAAACATTTCTTCATTCACAAATTTTATTTGGGTCTCCATCTACTTCTCTGCACGTGCCATTCATATCCAGGTGGGTGTTTAAACAACAAACAAACAAAAATAAAAAAAAAAAAACAAAAAATTGAAAAAATGGTCAACCAAAATAATAACAAACAAATAAAAAAAGGAACTGTTTTTTTCGTATGAGAACTACTGGCTAGCCAATTGGCCTGCCTACTCAAAAGTAGAGTTGTGAATGAAATTTTTTTTTGAAATAAAAAATATTGTAATTTTTTGTGAATGAAAGCTAATGGAAAATATTAAAAAAAAATAATGGTTAAAAAAAACCAAAATTCCAACAATTTTAAAATCCATTGAATGCTGCTAGTATAGATTTGTTTGAATAAATATTGAGTATTGGATATAGATCTACCTAGTAGTATTAAAAATAGGAGAATAAAATGGTTTTTAAAAATCTGAATCTAGAAAATTACGAAAAAAAAGGATTCCATATAAAAATTGTAGTAGATTTTCGAAAATTCGAGCGTATTACTACTAAGTCCATATTTATTAAAAAATATTATTTTCTTTAAACGATCACAAAATCCTTTCATTTGCCCTTATTCCAAACAATGTGGAAAGTGGAAAAAAATAAATAAAATAACCTCATGACAAGATTCTTCGGTCTTGAAGGCCTCTGGCGGTCCTTTAAAGTGAACATTGTTGATCTACAATTTCAAATTTGTAGATCAATTTAGTGAGTTATCTTCCACTGAAGTTGTAAAATAAAGCTTGGATAATAAGACTTTTTCCCTTGGATAACCTCAGATTATCCCAAACATCCCTCGCATTAAATTTCTAAATCAGAGAATTTTGATTATTATTAGACGGTTATTAGAATATCGGTCGGCTTTGGACCAACATTTTAAATTTTGTTTTTCATTACTTAATATTTTTTTTCATTTACATAATATTTTGTTATATCCCCTTTCCATTGCCAACAGACAAATTGGGAGCCAATATAAAAAAATCGAATTAAAACTTTGAATTTTTTATTTAATTATTTTTTTGAAATTGTATTTTATGACTAAATAGATAGTTTATTTGGTTTTTATTATTTTGTGTACGATTTATTATCCCAGTCGAACCAGATCGATATATTAAGAAAATGTTTGAATAGGTTTTCCAAAAAATATTGTTCCGCAATGTCACAGGGGTATCTCAAATACTTAGGGGTCGGTTATTAGAATGTCGGTGGGCTTCGGACCAACATTTTAAACTTTGTTTTTCATTTATTTAATATTGTTGTTATATTTTTCCCCTTTCATTTCCCTACTCTGCACATTTCCAACCTATACAAAAATAGTTTTTATAGCCAACTTTTAAAAGCAATATTTATTTTTAAATAGTATATTTGTTTTTTTTTCGATTTTTTATTGGTGTATTCTTTTTTTATTTTTGAACATTTAAATTGTCATCTTTAAAAATATTTATTTTGCTAATTTTGTTTATACGGACTTTAAAAATATATTTATTATTGTTTCCCCAAAAACAACAACAAAATTTAATATACCTCATAAACTAACCTATAAAAAAATTCATAAAAATATACAATTAATTACGTCTATATTTTATATATACCACAATGTTTTGCTACCGTAAAAAACAAGAACTTCCTAATCATACCTCCCTCCCCCGCAATAGAGAACATTAATATGTGACCTTCAGCTAAATTTTGTTGTTAAAAAAAACAGAAAACATTTTTTCTATGTATTTTTGTGCTAGAAAATTGTCAATTTTATGCTAGACTGTGAAGAAGAGAAAAACAAAAGTTCCAAAAAATTAAAAAAAAAAAAAAAATAGATATACGGCTGTGTCCATGTCTACCCGCCATTGAACAACAAATTAGCGTAGATTTTTTTCTCGTATATTAGCATATTTTTGGTTTTCAACGAAAAAAAATGTATATATACACTTGTCACAAAAAATATATATGTATATTTATTTATTGGTTTGGGCAATATATCTTAATAAACACACTACATAAGCCAACAATTTTTTTCTTCTTTTTTTGTATGTCGCCAATAAAAAATTATACATCTTTCGCTCATTAACTCATTCATTAAAAAATTGATATTTTATTTTTTGGCAAAAAAATATTGCTTCTTTTTTTGGATTTCATGTGATTTTAATTATGGCCAGAAAATTTGTTTAAAAAATGAACAGAATATGTATTAAATATTTTGTCAAAATTGCCATGCGTGTTGTTAATGATTATTTCGAAATTGCATCAAACATTTTTTTTTTTGGTTTAAAATTCATGGCCAAGTTTATTTTTAATTAGCTTTAAAATACAATCTAAATGGTAAAAAATATATATTTAAATGTCTAAAATTAATTAAAATATTAGAAACATATCAAAAGCGACATCTATATTTGAGGTTTTTTTTTGTTAATACCTACATATCTTAGAAAATCTGCCATCCTGCCGCATAGGTTGTTATTTTAATTCTGATTTTATTTTCATATTATTTAATTTTTCATCGTGTAGTAATTTTCTTATTCATAGTGTAGCAATTCTTCAATTCAATACTTTAATCATTAAACTCTTTATTATAATAATAGAATTTGATCTGTGGACAGTTTTCTCCATCATGAGCGTAATAACATTTCAACAGTTATCTTATTTATATTTGTATTTAATAATATTATTATTTTAATATTATTAATATTATTTTGTAATTTTGATCTCTTAACCCTGCCTTATTATTTTCTTTCTCACAAAAATGCCCCTTAATTTTGACCTCTTAACCCTACCTTATTATTTTCTTTATCACAAAAAAATGTCCCCCTACCTTAAAATATCTTACCAAACACAAATTAGTTATAAACCCCTTAACCAGGCCCCCCAAAAATTCCGATTTTTATCAAATCACCAACTTTGCAAAATTTTTACGCCGTCGGCAAAATTTCTAAAGGCATTGCAAGCAAATATTTCATACTTAACAACAAAATACGGATAATCTTCCACAAAATGTCTCATGACTTTCTGCGTCTAACTTATTTTCCCCCCAGATGACGTTTGTTTTTTTTTTGCTGTTGTTGTTGATTTTTCACAATTTCATGGATGGAAGATTGCCAGTCGGCATATTTGTTGGTCTTCCAACAAAACAACAAAAACCACAACATTTTAAGCGTTATATTAATTTACGTCTACAAGTGTTACCTCCTCCCCACGATCACCATGATCCTCACAACTCAAGACCCCTTTCTCTACCCCTTTGCCGTATTATTTAATTTGTTAGATTTTTTTTTGCTACATGTTGTTGTTGTTACTTTATCGTTCAGTTTCATTATTTTTAATAGTTTATAATGTGATCTGTGTGCTGTCGCCAACAATGTGTGTTGTTTTTTTGCGCGCCTAAGTGGGGTGTGACTGACGTTGACACACTACTACACACTTCACTTCATGACGCTGTCACTGTCTTCAACATCAGCCGTATCTCTGCCACCTTAGCCATCATCGTCAGCATCATGAGCTTTGTGGCAGCCGTTTTTTTTAGTCCTCTTATAATACTTCTTACTTATTACCAAAACAGACATGTCTTTCTTAATGTCTGATATGATTGCTGGTCCAAATGTCAGACAGAAAAATTTGGATTGTGCAGAATAGAAAATAAAAACAAAATAATTTTCTAAGTCCTCAAAAAAAAAAAAAAAAATCAAACAGCTACTACTAGACATGTCACAAAAAATTCTATGTAAACACTTGGATTTTTATAATTTATTTGCCAGCTAGAAAAAATTAGAATAATTTTGTGATATTATGTTGTTTGGTGGGTCATCGTATTGGCCATAAAATATGAAAATTATTACAAAAATATATATTTACAATCCTTCTTTTGCATAAGAACGAAAATATAATTTGCTGTTTCCAGCGCCATCTACATGTGAATACATGCATCGAACTAAAGTATTTGGACAATCTCAAAGTCATGACAACATTTTAATTACATTTATAAATAGATTAACCCACAAGGTATTTTTTCAAAATACTCAAAACTAAACTAAACCAATGGCAGAAGAATTATTTTGAAATAACGAACCTCTATTGGAAATCCCTCCATCTTCACCAACTGGAGCACATTTTTCCATTCATACGAAAGGGCTTGTAGGGAACACCAACAACTTAATCGGTCTCAGTTTCTTTCTCCAATTCATCCATTATATCATAGCAATTGTTTAATATCCGATTTAATTTAAAGAACATATCTTCTAGAGTTGTTCTATCTAGTTCAGTTAGCTGATCGCTCTTTTTAGTTCAGCTCTTTTGACTGAACTAGTTCGGTCTTCTAGTTCAGTAGTTCAATCGTTTACAATTAAGCTCTTTTATTCAGGTGTCGTTTTACTTCGGTCGTTCTTTTAATATTTCACGGCTCTCCGAATCGTTTAGTTGATAGTTTGTGTTCTTGGAAGATTGTGATGTGTGAATAAAAACAATTTTACAATTTTGTTTTATTTATGGTGAGGATATTATATAGAAAAACAGTTTATGGGGATCTATAAGGTGTGGATTTTTAATGAAAAGTTTCAGATATTGAAAAATTCTTTGCGAGCATAAATAATAGGCAACATATTTTATATGTTTACTAAATGAAATCGCTGTAAATATCACATGCAAAATAAAACTCGATCGGTGCCGCTTCCATTTAGAGAAAAATCGAACTAGTTCAGTAAAACGCTCACTAAAAGGAACGATTATTCCAGTTCGTTCTTTTAATGAACTAAAAGGAACAACTTTGAAGGACCTAGTTCAATCGGTCTTTTAAGTGAATCGTTTATTTGAACTAGTTCGTTCGTGAACTGTACAACTCTAATATCTTCAGAAAACTCAATATCTGCATTCTTTGGAAGCAAATGCTTCAACTTCATACACCTGGTGGATCATTCTTTATTCGATGCTTAATTATCCATTCCCCTTTAAGGAAACATGTCGATTTCAATTGCGGTCAATTTTTCTATAACAAATTCCATCCATTGCCAAGTGCTACTGTATTGCTCATGCAAAAAATACTTCCTCTATATGTGGTC